TCGCCACGTTCCAACTAGAAACATCTCGAGTGTAAAAAGACCCGAGGGCTGTTTCAGGTCTGACGCTAAGGGGACCGCAGTCAAAGCAGGCCGTCTCCCTCCCCTCCGCTGGCTTGCGTGAAGCCCGGTACTTTGGGGAACATTGAGTTTCTACGGGCCCTGCAACATCAAACTTTGATGGAGAAGCCTTGAGATTAGTCAATTTAATTGACCTGGGGGGCCAAGGAAGTACTCAGAAAGGCAGGAATCTTCCACAGCCACTCTGGACACACAGTAGGCAAGGGTCCAATGGCTGGTCCCACTTGCCACACCCAGAAAAGAACTCCTCAAATGCAGTGAACTTTCCAGAAGACTTGAGACCTAGGAACCCTGCTGGGTGGGGGCAGGACCGTGGCATTCTGCCCCCAGTCTGCATTTTTTGTTGTTGTTGTTGTTGTTGTTTTTTAAAGATTTTATTTATTTGACAGAGAGAGACACAGAGAGAGAGGGAACACAAGCAGGGGGAGTGGGAGAGGGAGAAGCAGGCTTCCCGCGGAGCAGGGAGCCCCATGTGGGGCTCGATCCCAGGACCCTGGGACCATGACCTGAGCCGAAGGCAGACACTTAACAGCTGAGCCACCCAGGTGCCCCTCCCAGTCTGCATTTTTAAGCAGAAGCCTTGCTTGTGAAGGATTTGTGTTTTTGCTCTAAGCTGGATGTCTGGCTTCTACAGGAGGGGTGACCCATCAGGTGGCAGCTCGCCGGGGCTGGGCACAACATCTCAAGTGGAGTGGAAACCCAGACAGACATCCTCTCCTGTGGGCCATAATTCGGCAGTTAGCCCGGAGCCCCCTCTCCCTTCCATCAAGCAGAGGATGGCTGTCTGTAGGCAGAGTGCTCTGAGGAAGTCTGCAAGGCCTTCTCCCTCCTTCCCACAGGCGGGGAGGGGAGTGAGGGGCCAGAGGAGGGGCCGCGTGGGCCACTCACCCTTGTATCCACAGGGAATTTTGTTCCATGGTCAGCACCATCAGGAAGACCAGGAAACCACATTTCCCATCATCTGTTATCATCCTTGACCTCATGGTGCCATCCGTGTCCTCGTCTGCACCTTCGCCTCCTTCCCTCCCACTGGGAGGTCTGGCCACGGGCTGCGTAGGAACCCATAGTTCTGCCCACGCTGCGTTTGTAAGCTTGGGGAGGAAGGCCGACCCCACTGGTTTCATGCATTTCTAGCCTCATTTTACTTTCTTCATTTTATTCTCAACAAAGCCAACACACGAGCAGGGGGCTTTATAGCTTGGTCTAGGGCTGTCCTAACAAAGCACCAGGCACAGGGCGGCTTAAACAACACATGTGCTCTCTCTCTCCGTGGCTGGAGGGGGTGAGGTCCGAGACCAAGGTGTGTGCAAGTTTGTTCCTTCCTGGGCCCCGAAGGAGAATGTGTTCCAGGCCCCTCTCCTTGGCTTACTGATGGCTGTCTTGCCCCTGTGTCTTCGCATGGTCTTCCCCCCATGTCTGGGCCTAATCTCCTCTCCTTATAAGGACACCTGTCACATGGGATTGAGCTCACCCCAACGGCCTCACTTTCACCCCTGCAAAGACCCCAGCTCCAAGTAAGCACCGGGGGCTAGGACTCCAACATAGGGTTGTGGGGGGATGTAATTCAACCCATAACCAACTTGAATGGCTTTCACAGGGCACTCAGTCCCCCACCATGGCTAATAGAAGGGGAAACTGAGGCAGGGAGTGGGAAGGTGGACAGCAGCAACAGCTCCCATTCTGGATGCTCCCATTCTAGACGCTCGCTGGGTGCCAGGAACGGGGTTGGGTGTGTTCGTGGGTGGCCCCGGCTCAGCCCAATGCCCACCCTAGAGGCAGGGATGTTGGCACCGTGATGCCGATGAGGACACCCACAGCAGGAAGGGTGGGGAGCAGAAATCAATCTCAGGATGTGGGTGCGCATCACTTGCTTGTCTCCTCATTTGGTAAAGTTTTCTGTGGGGTGAGAGCTCCCTGAGCCTTCCCTAGGTCCCGGCCTGGCCCGTGTGTCTCCTCTGTACCTGAGTCACAGGCAGGTGTCTGTTCTGCCCCTGTGCATGCCTCCAGCCTGGCACCTGCCCACTGCCTCCAGGATTTACCTGTGATCATAAAGAAACCACCTACTGCCAAGATAATCCAGGTCGCCAGTGGGGCTCGGGGAAGCTTGTGGGAGAAAGCTGTGTCCTTAATGTGTGGCAAGAATCCTGACATCTCTCTGTCCCCGGCCACATCCAGTATTCTGGCAATGACTACCCCTGCTGCCCCAAACTCACTCCCCCTTCCTCACCCCTCCACCCCCAGCCGTGTCTCCCCACCCTCTGCGTCCCTGACGTCCAGACACTGACGATACCCAGGACTTGTGCTCCACACATTTCTATGTCCCAGACAAGGAAACAGAGAGTTTCCATTGCTCTTCTTAAGCTCGGGCAACGGTGGGTCATGGAGTCAAGACAGCCTGAGGTTATCAAGACTCCAAGTAGGGCCCTCCTGCTAACCGTCAGGCTGGGAAGGAAAGGACCAGGCAGGGTTTCTGATTCTCCTGGGCCACAGTCTGAGGTAGAGAGCATGTCAATGAAAGGAGTATTTAAGCAGATGGACCCAGAGCACACGGTCAATGAATAGAACATGAATGGAGTCAACGTGCCTGCACCAAGCTACATGCAGAGAGCGCAAAGGTGAATATGTTAGTTGGAATATAAATCCTTGGTCACGCCGTTCCTCAAATATTAAGGATTGGTGTTTCTGTCAGCAGGGGAGGAGTTAATCCAAAGGCTTCTATTCCTTTCCGGAGGGCCAGAGGCTGTTGTGGGAGGAACAGCGGCCCAAGCACCTGCAGCCCGCTCATTTCTACATGAAACCTGGACACGGAAATGCTCTGTTCAGTGTCCTTCCTGGGACGTGTGTTCGCGTCATCTCCCGAGATGGTAGTCTTGGCTTGGGCTTAGTAATACCTAAGTCATTGGAAGCATTTTCCAGAAGGCACGACCAAGTCCTGACGATACCCAGGACTTGTGCTCCACACATTTCTATGTCCCAGACAAGGAAACAGAGAGTTTCCATTGCTCTTCTTAAGCTCGGGCAACGGTGGGTCATGGAGTCAAGACAGCTCTCCTATCTATGAGGAAATACCTGATTTGGTAAAGGAAGGGAGCCACGTACAGGTGAGGGCTGTTAGACCAGGTGTAGACAGCTGGGCTGGGACCCCGGGCTGGGGATGACCGTTCTCTTCCCAAGGGCTGGGCCCGCAGCCAGAGAGAAGCCCTCCAAGTGTGTTTGTGTCTGGTGGGGAATGGGATCCAGGGGCAGAGGGGGATGTCCCAGGTCCCAGGACAGGACCTCAGCTTTTTCCGTGAACTCCAGCCCTGGGGTCCCCTGCTGGAGGCCCTGAGCTCCATCCCTGACTCCCTCAGGAGAGGCAGAGTGTCTTCTCTCACCAGGCACCCCTCGTCCCCAGCACCCCCTGTGCTCATGCCTGGCCAAGCCGTCTGTCCTGGGCCTGGACCTGGGCCTGGTCCCCCGCAGTGGAGGCCCAGGGCTGGCCATGACACGGGCAGACCAGGCATTGGCCTTAGCTCTGGGAGGAGAAGGCATGAATTTTGCAGATCGGAGGTCAAGAAAGAAGCTCTTCATGGCCACCCCATCTGCATGTTCTATGTGTTACTGTTTGGTGGTGTTTGTCTTTTGAATCACTTCAAGGAGAGGTGCCAGCGTGTCTAATGGCCCTTGCAGGACCCCGAGGACAGCACAGGGCAGCTCTGGACTCTGCCAGGACCACAGCGGCCCAGCTCTGTGTCCCCGAGGCCTCTGCGAGGGGTGTGCGTGTGCATGTGTGTGTGTGTGCATTCCTGTGTGCTGTCAGTGTTAGGGCTCGTGCTGCAGGGATCAGGCGCCCAGATGGGTGCCCAGGAGCCCTCCAGGGGGTGCCAGCCTTGAGGGAAGCTGGTGCTGCCTCAAGGTCATTTCAAGGAGCCAGCCAGCTGATGGAAGTGGAGGTCTGGCTGGTGCTCCCAGAGCCCCTGCTCTTCCCATGGCAGCGGGTGATAGTTCCAGTGGAGAAGGAAGATTCACAGGCCACCGCTGTCCTCGTCCCTAGAATCCTGTCTGGGAGCCAGGTGGGCTCCGTGTGGCCTCTCGTCCACGGACAGCTCTGCCCAACAGACTCAGTATCCGCTGTCCGCCAGGAGACAGGCCACCGGTGGTTCAGGGTGGTGACCTGGTGACTCGCAGTTCCCCAGAATGCAGCCCTTAACCTGGAGGCTACTCACACCTCCTACTGGTGTCCACAGATACGGCAAAGGGCTCCGAAGGCCAGCAGCCGGGGTGGGGGGCTGGTCCCGGACTCCCCCGCCTCATGGAGCTATGTCTGCACGGTTAGCCTGCCCACCTGGACCAGACCCCAGCCAGAGTCTCCTTCTTAGCTGCAGACTGTGGCCCTTCTGGGGGTCCTGTACCCCAGTACGTACTCCAAGCTTACCTGTACACACAGGTGCTCCTTCCTCAACCTCCCCCTGCTGTGTGTACAAGGCTCCAGGGGGCAGGACAGCCGCCTGCGGAGCCCACGGTTAACACAGGGGTTCGATGTAATCTGAGGCTGTGAAGGGGCGGGGACGTGAGTGCGGGCGTAAGGCGGTGGGGAAGGCTTTGCGGGGCCGGCAGGAGAGCGCCGACCTCGGACAGCGGGATGGGACACAGGACGGACGCAGTCGGACAAGCGGGAAGTGGTCTGGAGAGCAGCTGAGAAGCGGGATGCACGGAGGGGCCGGGGCCAGCCTCGCCTGCTTTCCCACGCCTGGGTATGTCGCACTCGGACCATATCAGGGACAGTAGCTTCTGGAACGTTTTACAACGGCCTAGGACGTAAACTGCCTCCCATCCTTCTCGTCCCTTCTCAAGGGACACGACCGTCCTTCTCGCGAGCCGCTCCGACCTTCCCGGGCAGATTCCGTGCTGCGCGGTACAGAAGAGGAGAGGGGAGACGGGGCTGCACTGACATCTTTATTATTCCTGGGAGGGGAGCAGGGTACACAGCCACGTTGCAGTCACCGAGCTTGTTAAAAATATCTCAATAAATAAAACAAATAAGCAACATATACACTGAAACAGAAAATACTTTAAAAATGGATAGCTGAGCAAATCATGAGAAAGAGAAGAGGCGAGGTGTGAGGAGGATTCCAGGCTTACGTGGAACAGTCATGCGGAGGCTGCGGGGAGAGGGGACGCGAGGTTCCTTTTCTGAGAGCCTTGGTCCAGTTTAAACAGAATGGTACAGGAATGCATTTCTGTTTTATTAAAAAAATATACATTAAAAAGGCACTTAGAGGGAAATACAAATCCAACATTTCAATCCTTGTAAATATGTTCCTGAATCTAGAGATTTTCAGAAAGAATAAATCCGCCCCCCCAAAAAAAATAAAACCCAGAAGAAAAATCCAAACAGTGGCAAGGATGACAAGGAACATGTCACCGGCGAGAAGGACCGTGAGTGCCGCTTCCTCTGTGGGGACCGACTCTGGGGGAGGACTTGTGCGGTCCGGGGTCTTCCATTTGAAGCTGTTGTCCCCTTGTCCAAACGCTGTGCTGGAGAGCAGAGGGGGAGGCTCCCTTGAGGTTGTTCAGGTTTCAGAAGTGACAGACGTGGAGGCGTCCCAATTCCACTTGAGCCTCAGCCCCACAGGACAGCCTGGAAGACACGGGAGAGGGAGGGTGAGACCCCACTGCGTGCAGGCTGTGCCTGTGGGGTTGCGTGTACATGCACGTGGGGTGTGCGTGCCGTCCGAGGCCAGCTCATCACACGTCGATTCTAGCACCCGCCATTGTGATCAAGACACACAACTGTCCCGCGTCCAGAGGCGCCGCAAGGGGGTGTAAGGGTCTGCAGGAGCACATGTGGGTCATTAAAATGCAGCGGTGGCCACCCTGGCCTGCGGCGCGCAGTGTGAGCATCTCTCCAGGGACCACGCCGGGCGTCTCCGCCAGCCCCACCCCCTCGCCAACGGACTGGCCGGCGAGGCACCAGGTCGGGAGCCAATCCATGGACCAGGGCCCCGCTCTCCACAAAGCCTCCGGCAAGGAAGGTCTGCCTACCCAGCTGACCTTGTTGCCTGGAAAGGAGGTGAGGGTTCAGATGGAAGACTGGATGGAGCGGCAGAGAGAGGGACCCAGCGGTGGGGTCCCCAGACCGCTCCACCACGGGGCTTGTTGGAGAAGATACGCTGGAAAGAAGCTCGAGGCAGCGTGTGTGATCCCCAGACTTCAGAGACACGTGGCTGTTGTAAGCCCAAGGTCATGAGTCCTGTGGTGGGAAGCCCAGGAGGACAGGGGATAATGCTGCTGGGCATGAGTGTCTGGTCAAGGACCTCGACACCTGCGGGAAAGGTCCCACACCTGGGTGCTGAAGGGACTGAGGCTGAGGACAGGTGGGCCCCACACCTTGCTCCGAGGTGCCAGCTCATGGCTAGGACCGGCTGTTCTGGGGGCTGTGGGCGGCTGATCGCCTAGTCCCGCGGGACCCCAGTCCTACAGTGCACGTGGCCAGTTTGCAACCAACCCTGAACCGATAGTGGCCTTCCCAGGAGACCCTGAGCTTCGTTAGGGATTCTTGAAGACTGGCTGGTAAGCGCTTTGGGTCCCACGTGATCTTTAGTGCGTACCCCAGGCCCTGATGCACACGGAGCGCGCTTCTACATCTGGAGAACAAACACCGGAATAACCAGATAAACCTCATAACCAGAGGAGACAAGATCATTCATCGACAGCCCCTGAGGGCTGCCCTGGCCGTGGGGGTAAACTGATGCATGAGACAGGCCTCCACCCTGATGCACCAAGCGGGGAGGCTGCCGGACGGGCTCTGCGACTGCAGACCTAAGTGCCGAGGTGGGAGGCTGGCAGGGGCCTGGGGGTGGGGAGGAGTCAGGAATGGCTTCACCAAGGAGGAGGCTGGGAGAAGGGTCACCATGAGGAATTTCCCTCCAGGATAAGAGGTCAAGGACAGGCAACCCCAGGTCCTGGGACGATGATGTGGAAAGGTACGAAAACACAGAAGGATCTTTGATACAGCGACAGGTGACATTTTCAGTGCAGTGTGTGTGTGTGTGTGTGTGTCCCTGGTCCTACTGGGCAGTGGGCAGCAGGAAGTTCCTTCCTGTCCCTGGACCCCCAGCTCCTTCCCTACAGATCCCCAGAGAACTCTAGAAACCCCTCCTGCGCCAAAACAAAGGTCTGAGAAGGCTAAGACACGTTGTTCCTGAAAACCCGGGGTGTTCTCACACACACACTTCTTTTCTTTCAAGCCCAGAACACTCCAGATACATCCGCCTTTCTAAGTGGTCCCGGGCAGAAAGTCAAAGGCTGCTCTCTCGGAGAATGTGGTTGTAATTAGATAATTAATCAGGGGGGCAGCTAAAGAAAGCTGAATGGAAGCCTTCCTCAGAGGGAGGGAATAATTACAACAGTTTTTGATATATGAGCTGCGCCAGCCCTCCAAGGGGAAATACAGGATCATCCATGAAAAGCCAAGAGTGACAGAGGCTGTCCCCCAGTAGTGGTGAGTTTCAGGGTTTGCTGCATGAGCCCGTGGGGCCCAGGGCTCGGGCACAGAGGAGCAGGTTCATTAGGCTTCTTGACCGAGAGCCTGTGGGCCTGGCCCCCTTGATGTCACCCTGACCCCAGCCATGGCTGCTGACATGGGCAGCGTTCTTGGCAACAAATACAAAACATCTGGGGCCCAGGCCTGCCTCCCGCCTAGAACAGCCACCTGAAACCGTATGCATGTGCCCTGTCTGGGGCTCACTCTCTGCATCTGTCTGCCTTGCAGAGAAGGGGGGTGGCGGGCAGAGCTGCAGAGCAGCGGCCACGCTGAGAGAGTGCCCTTGCCCCTCTCTCCCACACCAGTACCTGGGGCACTAATGCACAGTAAAGGGTCTTAACTGACTCTTATTAAGGACCTAACTTGATTGACTCTTTCAGGACCTAACCCAGGAAGTGAAACACCAACACAAATTCTCCAAAAAGTGAGGCAGGGGGCTTAAGGGGGAATTTATTATAAGGCCTTCCATCCACCTACCCATGCACCCACCATCCAACCATCCACCCACTTACCATCCACACATCTACCCACCACCCACCCTTCCTTCTTTCCCTCCTTCTATCCATCCATTAATCCATCATTCCACCCACCATCTATCCGCCCATCCTTCCATCTACCCATTCACCCGCCATTCCTTCCTTCCATCCATCCACCATCTACCCATACACCCACCCACCCATCCTGCCATCTACCCCTCCGCCCTTCCATCTAGCCACCCACCCTTCCATCTAGCCACCCATCCACCCTCCTCCTTCCATCCATCATCCATCCATCTATCCATCCTTTCATGCATCTTTCTAACATGTATTGAGCATCTATCATGTGCCAGAAAAGCTACTAGTTGTTTAAAAAGCCCAGAAAAGAATCAGAGAAATCTAACAGGGGAGAAGAAACATGTTTGAAAACAACTAGAACATAGGGTAGACAGGGACAACTTTTTTAAAGGAAATGCCAGTAAGACTCTGCAGCCAGAAAGGAAAGGGACAAAGTACCCTGGAACTTCGTTGGACTGCCGAAAAAAGCTGGGTAGGGAATAAGGAGGGAAATGGGCACAGATGTGTCATCTCTGGTCATTACAGCATGTGCACACACACACACACACACACACACACCCCTGAGATTTTGCCAGTGGGAGCTGCAAGGGCAGAACGTGAGGCTCAGGGAGCCAGGCACTGCCCACAGAAACCCAGGGGCATGGCCATGGAAGGCCTTGCTCTGGCCCTGACTGCCCCCTTCAGCAAGAAAGTGGAGGACTCTTCCTCCGCAGGACCCTGACATTGTCCAGGTCACCCAAAGGGGCTACCACCTGCCAGCCGGCCCCTGCTGCCACCCGTGTCTCTCCCCTCCCAGTCACTACACCGAAAACAAAGAACCCCCCCCCGAAGTCCTGGGCTCCCAGGTGCACTGGGGTCGGGGTAATGTGCCATGTGGAGATGAATATAATGAACCCAGCATTGGAGCTGAGCCCCTACCCTGGTGGGTCTTGTCCATCCCACAGGGGACAGCACCCCCGCCCACCCGGGCGTTCATCAAGCACCGTTCTTCAGCTGGGGCCCTCTGTCCCCTCACTGAGCCTGGACACAGCCTCCTGACTGAGCACGGCCCCCCAGAGCTGGCTGGAGGCACAGAACCCACCCACTCACGTCGATCTGACAGCTGTAAATAGGAGTAGAAAACAAGGAATGGTTCACATCAGGTGGCTATGGAGCGCAGCGGGGAAATAGGTGAGCTGAGCACCTCACAAATGGCCCAGAGCACGGGGACCAAACTTTCAGAACAGTGGAATTCATCGTTTGGAGAGAAGCTAGGGGAGTCTACATGGATAAAATAAGGATACTCTGTTTTCAAAGAGAAGCACAACCAGGAAACAAGAAACGCGCTCTTGGAAATCACAGAAAGTATGGAAGCAGCATATTTTGTAAGAAATGGAAGCAAAATAGCAAAAGAGACTCTGATGAAAAACAATCAATAAATCAGAGACTGACTCACGGAGGTCTCCAGCATCTGAGCAAAAGACAAAGAATGTGGAAGGAGGGAGGAGACGAAGCCCCAGACGAGATGCGGAGGGAAATGTCCCCGTGCTTAGGGAAGATTGTCGGTCCCAGATTAAAAGGAACACAGAGTTCTGGGAAGAGCGACTGACAACATGGGCAGCCATGCGGCATCACAAGGAAAGTTCTGGACTCCAAGAGTACAGAAAACCTCCCACCGGCTTCCAGACATAAAAAGAGGCAAAAAAGAGCCAGGCCAGGACAGCTTCCTGTGTGCTCATGGCACCCGCTGACGGGCAACCCCAGGACGGCTGGGGGGTTTCTCTGGAAAAGGGTCCATGGACCGTGTGGGGAGCAGGAGAGACATGGTCAGGCATATACAGCCTCAGAAAATGCACCCCCCCCCGGGGGCCACTTCTGGGGAAATACTACCTGGAAAGGTCCTCCTCCCAGAGGGAAAGTACTTAGGGCCCCTCGCTCGGCAAGTATGGCAGCAAATCATCTAACAATCAAGGCCAATAAGAATGCTGGTAGGAAAAGCCTAGGAGGCCAAAGGAAGCTGTGGGTCCCCAGGCACCCCGAGCTCCTGCCTGCCCCAGGCCACAGGACCCACACACCAGGCAGCCCCATCCATCCGTGATCACCACGCCCGCCGATTTCCCACTCTGTTTACCAAATTCACTCAAGAAGAAGTAGGAAATCTGAATGTATCAACTTTTTTTTTTTTAGATTTTATTTATTTATTTGAGAGAGAGAGAATGAGAGAGAGAGAGAGAGCACATGAGAGGGGGGAGGGTCAGAGGCAGAAGCAGGCTCCCTGCCGAGCAGGGACTCCAGGATCATGACCTGAGCCGAAGGCAGTCGCTTAACTGACTGAGCCACCCAGGTGCCCTGAATGTATCAACTTTTGTAAAATAAGCTGACCAGGTTAGGAAGAATCCGAAACCAGACTGTTTTACAAGAGCATTACATAGAATTTTCTGGAACCCGGTCATTCCTATCTGTATTACTTCAGCTGTTGCAGAGTTTACAGATGAGGACACACTTCCCATTTTATCTTATTTATTTTTTCTATTTGTTTATTTTGCCGAAGACTATTTTTTA